CCCAGTAGACATCTTCAGTATGGACTTTAGGAAAATACTCATTTTGGCCTCCTCAGGGCCAAAGTGTGTGGCAATAATGGGATCAAAGCCATGACCCTCCCCAAACACCCTACTACTACTGGATATTCTATTAGTTTCCTCTGCAGTAAAAAGACGTCTGTGCTCAGCTGCTTTTCTCACTCAGAATCACATTTGTTTTACTTTTATGTACCTTTAACAGTGACTAATCTAATTATTTTTATTTTCTAGAAAAAGATTTCATTAACATTTGAGCAGAGTGCAGTGCTGCATACGACTATTATAAAACCTTCTAGTATATAAAGCTATGTACTGTGGATGGATAGCTTCTAATCGTATTTAATGTTCCATATGCATGCATATTGTAAGCTATTAACATATGCACAAAAAAGTGAGCCCCATAATTGTTCCTTTTTACCATTTAATCCCAGCACTGGAAGATACAGCAGAGATCACATTAACATTTACATTTCTGAATCCCCCACCTCCTTGATATAGCTCCAGCTTTCAGCCCCAGCATTTCATCTGCCTTTACATAATATCAGGCTGTATTAATGCTGCATATGGAGCTCCTCTGTCTGTGCTGTGTAGATTTACATTTTCCTAATGATGTGCTTTCATTTTTTCCCCCACTACCCTCCTGTCCTTCCCTTCACCTCCAGCCCACAGCCTACGGTGATTTAAAACACATACAACTCTACTGCTGTTTTACTGCAGCAGAATAACACAAAGCATGGGTTGACACACCTTTGGTTGCCCTGGCCCCATCTGTTGCACATCTGGAAGTGGTACACCACACCAGTAATTGGAAGTCAATTTGTTTGAAGTTATGTATTTGGCATCTGGTTTGATTCATAAAAACTCAGGAAATCACATTAATTTTATAGCATCTTGAGAAGGCCCAGCCACTTTTTTTTTTTTTTTTTATCTCTCTACTCTTCCACTGTTAATGCACATGAGGCCTGGCTAGTTTAGTGACATGAGAGTTTGTCAAGCACCAGTCAAGGTATGGTCCTTAATAAAAGCAATGTGGTGGCCAGTGGTCAATGCCCTAAAGAATCATGGGATTGAATTACTGTGGTGAACTGGAGAGACAATCATGATTACTTAAGTAGCTGATCATTAAATGACTTGCTCAAAGTTTTGCACTTTCACCTTTATCTTAGACTTTAACCTTAGATCATTTTTTTATATTTTTTTCTGAAGGGGAAAAAACTCAACCAGGGCCTAGTTTGCCACATTCCCAGCAGACGAGCTGACTGATTGAGAAGCAGCATGGTGTTGTTTGTCACACAGCTCTGAGTCATGGCTGAAAATAGATATGACACTTGATGTTTGGTGCCTCACTGCTGGCTGTCATATTGTTATTCCCACTCAAATTTCACCTAATTTGTGCACAAGTCTTGTCACAGTCCAGATCCTGATGAGGGCTTTTAGGTGTTTTTTTTTTTCCTTCGCTTCCTCGTATATGTGGCAACGTACAATGAGATACACACCTGTGCGTGCACTTGATTGTGTGTGCGTAGTATGCATACAGTATGTGTGTGTTTGTGCTTGGGTGTGCATATTTGTGTTTGCACACAAGCACATTTGATTAGGCTTGTTTGTGTGTGCAAGAGTGTCTGGCCCTGTGCGTGAGTGTGCTTGCCGTGCTCCAAAGTGAGTCACTTAAGCAGGAGGAGATTAAGAGTTGCCAGGGGCAGG